ATAAATCTCAGAATAAAAAAAGAAAAGAAAAAAAGGAGAGGCTGGGGGCTTCCGTCGCCGGGGAACTTGGCCAGCCTGAAAATGGCCCTCAGCTCCTCACCCAGACTGGCCAGGCACCCCAGTTGGGACCCCCCACCCTAAAGGGGGTGTGGCCAGCCTGAAAACAGCCATCAGCCCTTCACCCAGGCTGGCCAAACCTCCATGGGGTGAGGGTCCCCACTGGGGAAGGGGGGCTTGACCAGCCTGCAAACAGCCATCAGCCCCTCTCCCAGGCTGGCTAGGCACCCCAGCGGCACCCCCACCCTGACCTGGGACACCCTTCAGGGCAAACCAGCTGGCCCCCACCCGTGTACCAGGCCTCTATCCTATATAATAAAAGAGTAATATGCAAACTGACCCTAACAGCAGAAAGACTGGGAATGACTGGTCACTATGACACACACTGACCACCAGGGGGCAGATGCTCAATGCAGGAGCTGCCCCCTGGTGGTCAGTGCACTCCCACAGGGGGAGCTCTGCTCTGCCACAAGCCAGGCTGACGGCTGCCAGTACAGCGGTGGTGGTAGGAGCCTCTCCCGCCTCCTCAGCAGCGCTAAAGATGTCCGACTGCAGCTTAGGCTGGCTCCCCGCTGGCAAGTGGACATCCCCCGAGCGCTCCCGGGCTGCCAGAGTGATATCTGACTGCCAGCTTAGGCCCAATTCCCCAGGGAGTGGGCCTAAACCAGCAGGTGGTCATCCCCCAAGGGGTCCCAGACTGTGAGAGGGCACAGGCCAGGCTGAGGGACCCCCCTGAGTGCACAAATTTTTGTGCACCGGGCCTCTAGTTATTTATATAATAGTATAAATTATTATATAGCACACTTCCATATTATACTAATTATATTACATGTTATGTATGCCTATATAATAGTCATCTATACATATAAAACCCTAATATACAAATAGACTGAATGGCGAAACAACCAACCAACCAAATAACTGGTGCACTATGACATGCACTGTCCACCAGGGGGGCGTGCACGGAACATGGCGGGCGCCGGCAGCAGTTGATCTGACAACTAAGACGGAAACTAAGTGACTGGCAGGTGGCAGGGCTTACAGCTGGTGAGGGCAGCAGCAGTGGCAGGAGCCTCTCCTGCCTGTACGGCAGCACTAAGGAGCAGTGAGCAGGCGGGTGGTAAGGAGCGAGGGGTCCCGGACTGTGAGAGGGCACAGGCCGGGCTGAGGGACTACCCCCGCTCCAGTGCACTAATTTCATGTACTGGGCCTCTAAAAAATTATATAATATTTGTATATAAATGTATTATATATTACATATATAATACTCATATATTTTATATTAAATAAGATAAATATATAAGTAACTCAGTAACATCTCATTTTACAAGCACATGTATCTTTCTCATTAAAATGAAATGGTAACATTCTGCTTGGGTCAGCTGATGACTCATTCTGAGAATGCCATGGGATGAGGGCTGCACAGAACCCGGCTCATGGCCAGTGTCAATCAGTGATGACTCAAGTTCTGTGTTGCTAGGAAGTAGATATTGGAAAAGTGGAGGAAGTCATGTTAATGAGGTAGACTGGGTTAGATCCATGAGGGCTGACCTTGTGTGATTAAAGTAAAGGGTGTACTTTTCATTCTGAAAGCCATGATAAGCACTGGGAAGTTTCAAAACAAATAGTGAAATGCTCGATGTTCTGTTTGAGAAAAATCACTCTGTCCACAGTGTGAAATGCACATGAAACCAGGCAGGCCAATCAGAAGAGTGCTGTCATAATCCAGGGGAGGAAGTATGACAACCAGACAAAGAAGTGACAGCCATAGAGAGGTTGAGTGGAAATAACACGCTTGCTGACTAATTGGATGTGGGGATGAGTGCAGAAGAGGATTCCAAGATAACCCCAGGTTCCTAGCTTCAGCAATGAGTATATGGTACAATTCCATCCACTGAGGCAGAAATGCAGTAAGAGGAGTGTTATGGGTTGAATCATGTCTCCCCAAAATGCATGTGGTGAAATAACCCACAACGCCACAGAATGGGCCCTCAATTGGAGGTAGGTTCTTTCCAGAGGTGATCAAATTAATCAGTTAACTGCCACGTGTCCAAAACGGAAACCATCCCCATATGCCATGATATTTTGAATTTAATTTAAAAAATCAATTTGCAATGAATGTTATAAAAATAAATATGTTATTCACAATTCGGGTGTTCTTGAATATTTTCAGCTGAAAATTCTCACAAAAAATGATTTTAAAGTTTGTCAGGCCTGCCACTTAGGGAAAACATTTTTTTTTTTAAGAGACATGCGTGGCATGTGGGGAAGGTCTGCCTCTTGCATCTACAGACGCTTATGGCGTACGATGAGTTAAATGAGGTCATTAGGTGAGCTCTAATCCAATATGATTGGTGTCCTTATAAGAAGGGGAAATTTAGTCTGGCCAGTGTAGCTTGGTGGTTGAGCATTGACCTATGAACCAGGAAGTCACAGTTTGATTCTGGTCAGGGCACATGCCCGGGTTGTGGGCTCAATGCCCAGTAGGGGGCGTGCAGGAGAAAGTTGATCAGTGATTCTCTTATCATTGATGTTTCTACCTCACTCTCACTCTCCCTTCCTCTCTGAACTCAATAAGAAAAAGAAAAACATAAAAAAGCAGGGGAAATTTAGACATAGGCACACATGGAGGCCTGGACCAGACCTTTTCCTCAGGGAGAAGATGGCCATCCACAAGCCAAGGAGAGAGGCCTGGACCAGACCTTTTCCTCACAGCCATGAGAAGGATGCAACCCTGTCAACACCTTGATTTCAGACTTCTAGCCTCCAGAATTGTGGAACAATAACTTCTGCTGTTTAACCCACCCAATGTGCAGAACTTTGTTACAACAGTCTTAACAAACTAATGCAGGGAGTGACTCATTTGGAGATGGTCCTGAGTTCTATCTTAGATCAGTTGAGGTTGATGTGTTATTTTTAATAGCCCGGTGAAGATAGGTGCCAAAATGGTAGTCCAATAGGCAAGTCTGGGACTCAGTAAGAGACTTGGGACTAGAGATGGAGATTAAGGTGTGCCAATCATTTCTGACACTCCAGCATCGATAGCACAATGTGACTTTACATACTAAGAATTTAAAAAATAGCTGAGTGGATAAATGTCATGTTTGCTTAAGGACAGAGGACAGGAGGGACTACACAGTGGTTGGAACTCATTCTAATCTCCCATCCCAGCACTAATGAGGCTAGCTCAAGCCCTATTGAATTTGAGAGGATTGCTATGCTGATTGCTGATATTTACACTCATGAGTGAGGAAAATCCCCTCTTTGTTCTCTAAAATCAGAGGATAAAAATTTAACCAAATATCAAGTTATTTTGAGAACAGAGAGCTCTATAGCCTCCTTGGAGCCTTAGGTTCACACCCATGTTCCAAAGTGTTGACCTCCAAGTGTCTGCTTAGCTTAAATGTCAAAGTAAGTTGACAACATGGCATAATAGAAACTGGCAATAACTGGAAATCAGGAGACCTTGCTTTAAATCTCAGATATGCCTCGGAAGAACTGGGTCACCCTAACCTTCCTGAGTCTCCTCCCCTCGTCCATAACCAGTGACGGGAAAGGGTAATTGGATGATCTTCCAAGTCTGGCATTCTGATTCTCACAATGTTGCCTTTAATTGTAAATGTTGGAAGAATTAAATTTCCACAAATTGACCTGCCAACCTAATTTAGTCCACCAATAGGAAGAAGACATGTAAACAGAGTGATAGGCAGAAACAAATATCACAGATGACTTTACCAATTTATGGCTCCTAATGATGGCAGATGGAACACTGAAAAGAGATAGTATTTGGTTGTAGAATGCAACTTATTTACCAGTAAATTGTTTTTTGGGGGGAAGGTTTCTAAATGTACGTGGTCACAGTATTTTGTCCAATGACTTAAACTTCCAAGCATACTGGAAAAGGACATGGAAAAATCCATTTCTAGCTGCATCTGTGATTTCTCCTGGATCCTTAATAGTTAAACCTCATGCATTGGCCTTTTCTTTATATGCCTGGATGTCTCTGCCCTGGATATAATAAGTGACTAAAGGGTACAGCTGATTAAGATTTACTGAGTCTCTATTAAGTGTCCTGTTTTGTGGCAGGTGCTTGACCTGTGTTACAGAGTGCCCCATTTAACACCCTTGTAACATATGCTGTCAGCCACACCATATCTTCTCGACATGCTGAAGGTTGCTTGCTTAGAGCTTCTGTCTGTCCAAGAGGACAAGCCAGACATGCACCAGAGTTACGGCTGCAAGAGCACCCCTCAGCCAATATCAGATGGAAATTTGGTGGATAAATATTCCAGCTTCCTCACCACTTGGTTGGGATAACTCTGAAGCATATTCTACACTTGCTCACAGAGTCTTCAGAGGGCCTGAGTTCCGGGTGCCCCTGGGGAATACGGGCTTGATAACATACCCTTTATGGACTGCCTTCTATTTCTGTCTTGACACCCTGGTATTTCCTGCAATTGTATTCCTGATACAGTACTAGCACTCGCATCTTTGCCTCAGTGTCTGCTTCTCTGGTATCCAAACTAAAACATTCCCCAAGGTCCCTATGGAGTAGGTACCATTATTGCTAACTTACAGAGAGGAATCTGAGGGTCAGTATGGTTAAATAATAGTTGTTAGGTCTTGGTGCTGGGGTTTTGCTGGCTCTCAGAGACATTCCTCTACACCCGTGCTTCTCACCCAAGGGAGATTTTGTCCCCCAGGGGACACTTTGAGATGTCTGCAGATAGATTTGGTTGTCACAAGTGGCTCCTAGGAGGTGGAGAGAAGGGAGGCTGCTAAACATCCTATAATGCACAGTTCAGCTCCCTACAACCAAGACTAATTCAGCCTAAAAAATGGCCAGTAGTGGCAAGCTTGAGAAATGCTGCTCTACGCCCAGCAAGGCTGATTGTTGGATGGTAGCTCTCCCATGTGACTTGTCTATTATATTTCACTTCCAGGGCCAAGCTGTGGCTCAGCTGTGCTCCACTATCCCCAATGTGACTGTCTTTGGAACAGCTTCTACTTTCAAGCATGAAGCCATCAAAGACTCCGTGACCCACCTCTTTGACCGAAATGCAGACTATGTGCAAGAAGTGAAAAGGTAAGGTGTTTGCTCAAAGGAGCACCAGGTTGGCCCTTGCTCTTCTCTCTCTGAAAGAACAGTTGCATTCATCTGGAAGGGGGGCTAATACTACCATAGTAATAATAGTAAATATACATTGAGGTCTTAGTATGACTAGCTCTGTGCTAAATATTTCACCTATATTAGCTCATTTAACCCTCTTAACGACCCCCTTTTGTAGAAGATAAAACCCAGGAATAGAGCAGTTAAGTAGCTTGCAAAGCAAATTTATAACTTGCAAAGCCGTTATGCTAGCGGCTATAACACTGCCTTAACACAGAGAAGTTTCTTTCTCATTCATTCACACAACAGCCTAAAGAAATGTAGACTCCAACCTGGGTATGACTGAGAGCCAACGAAGGACCAGAGTGGTGACATGATCAGATTTGGGTTTGGGGCAGTCACTGGTGGTGCGCAGAGAACAGATGGGAGAGGAGAGGCGGGAGGCAGGAGATCAGTCTGCTGGCTGTTGCAGTCATCCAGGGGGACACTGGCTTCTAACCTAATCTATTTCCACCGGTGATCCTGAAGCCATTGATCATGGCTATGTGCGTGTGCAGCAGGTGGAAAACCCAGCTGCCGCCATGTTCTCAGATGATTTGTGCATCTCAGCCCTCCTGCTGCTCAGAGTTTGAGCCTGGTCCTCAGGTTCTATTCCTGAGAGGGTTTAGGGATGTCCTGTGCCAGTGTTCCTGCATTTTCAGTTGATCAGCACTAAATTGCAGGGTACAAAGGAATTAGTTGTCCAGCTAGCATCCTAATAATAGCATCACAATTTTCTGCAAATCACACAGTAAGATGGAAAATCGAAGGACTAGAGGGATGGGAGATCTGGTTATCTGAGGTGGTAGATTTGGATCAGATTAAGTGAGAGTTTCTTGGAAAGGAGAGTCTCCTGATAGTCTGAATTTTCAGATTTGTTATTAAAGGTTTGAACAGGGAGATTTGCATGTAACTTAAAATTGACCCAGTATTTGCAGGAGGGCATGAAGAGAGAGCTTTACATGGAGATATTAGAAGTTCCCCGTCTGGTTCGCAGAAGTCTGTAGATTGCAGGCATAGTTTAAAGACTTCCAGGATTTACCTTTGCCTATTTTCATAACCCTTAGATAGTCCTTCTTTTACCTAGCGTCTATCAAGCTGTGGTGGGGAGAATGAACTACCATGTCCCTTCAGCGATCTTTTCTTTCATCCTCTTAATGATATTTTTGTGAGCATCCTTTCCTTTATTCATGTACTGACCTACTTAATCAATATTGAATGTCTGTGTTGGGCCAGGCACTGGGCCAGGGCGGGAGATACAGCCAGACCACTGTGAGAGTCACCATTTACGTGGAGTTTGAGTCTAGTTGGGGAAGAAGAGACAAACAATTTTTTAAAATTCCTTGATTTATAAGTTCAATATGTGCCCTGCTGGAGAAACACAAGGTGCCAATAAACATGCAGCTGGGGAAATCAGACACATTGTCCATCAAAGGGTGAGATTTGGGCTGAAATGTGAAAGATGAGAAATTGGCCAAAGGAAGAGCATTTCTGACTTGGGGAGTGGTATGTGCTAGGGCCCAGTGTCAGAAAAGGCTTGGGAAATTTGAGAATCTGAAAGGAGACCGGAGCAGCTGGAGGCGGTAGGATGTGGAAAGTAGTGAGAGAATAGATTCAGGAGGGGCAGCTCTTCTGAAAATGTGACGGACAGTCTATGGCCAGGGAGCTCCTGAAGTTCCCATTTCCCATGTAGCTGCTCCATCCCCTTGTCCTTCTCTGTCCTTGACCTGTGACCTTTAGCCCCCAAAGCAGTGATTTCTCCTGATGTCAGCAGAGCAGAAGGCAACAGCATCTGAGATCCCCCTCACCACCACCTTCTTTCAAGTGTGACTTCCAACAATTCCTTATGTGTTTAAGTAGAGACCCCAGAATTAGACTGAAAATGACTGGGAAGCTGCAAATATGTGTATGCCCTCTGTCCCACTAATCCTATCCTCAGGAAATAATCCAAAAGAAGAAAAAGGCAACAGGTGCCTGGTCGCCTACTGCAGAGCCAAGCACTGCTTCTGATTCACAGCAGGTGTGCAGCATATGTCCCGGGTGAATTATAGCATCGTCTGTAACAGTGAAGATGCAGAAGCACCTCCGTTATCAACAGAAGGAAAATAGTTCAGTAGATTACGCTACACCCACACACTTGAGTATTATGCAGCCCCTAAAAAAAAAGATAATTATGGAGACTCTGTCACAAAATGAGAAAAATAGCCGTGGTAGCATATTGAGTGAAAAAGAAGAATGCCAAATTTCATCTACACGGTGATCACAGCTTTGTATACATTCTCAACTCAAAAGGACATAAAATGAAAGGAAAGAGTGGAATTCAACTGCTAACGTGCAATAGGAAGTGGACGCAGAGTATTTCTTTCTTTTTTGATCACGGATATTGTTTATTACACTATTATGTGTCTGATAAACTAGAAAAAATAATAACATAAAATTCTGTGAGATGAGAACTCTCTTATACACCAACCCATCGGTAAGGTTCTTTGGAACACATTCTTAGCTGTGAGCCAGGCATTGGAAAGGAAATAGGGGAAAATTATTTATAATATAGACCTAACCTTCACATCACTTTCTCCTTCTCTGTTTGGGAGGAGAGAAATGACTATGCTTGAAACCAAGTGTGAGAGTAAGAAGCCTTGAATCACGTGCATCGGACTGTAGGGCCATAAAAATAAAGAGGAGAGAAAAACCAGAGAGAGCGCCAGGGTGGACAGCCCCAAAGGGGGTGCCTGAAGGATGGGAGGGATTTCAGCAGGCAGAGGGAGGAGGGGAGCCAGTCCCAGGCAAGGCGAGTGAGCCCGGGCCAGGTGGATAATAAATAGCCCAGGTTTTGTTGGTCTCCTCTTGCTCTGATGTGCATTGCAGTTAGACCTTGTAGGTGTACCCCAGACAGTCCTGCAAGGACAATTCCTCACTTACAGGTAAAGAAATTGAGACTTAGTGGAAATTAATGAGAGTCTAATCACCTGGACAGAACAGAAAGTGATCCAGAAAGGATTCCTGGAGGTGGTATTGCTAAGTCCATGTGGGAGCCATTAGTAGTAAACACTTCCTAAGAAGCATAATGTGTGCCAGGCACTGTGCTGGGCACCCCGTAAAGAGCCTATTGTGTACTGAGTGCTAGCTTAGCCCTCAGGGCACAGGACAGTTTGGTCCTCTATGAGAGGCCTACTGTGTGCCTGGCACTGTGCTGGGCACTCTGCAATAGCCTCATCCCTCCGTCACGAGCTTGGAGGTGATGGTTAAAGCTATGGCACAGGTGAGTTCTCAAAGGAAAGGAATTCAGAAAAAGAAGAACTGAGTGGAGCACCACGAGTCCAACTGGAAATGAAAGTTACAACAAAGGGGAATCAATTTCTTGGCAAAGGAGAAAGGTTTCTGTCCCAGTAATGGCTCTGTGGGACCTGCCACCACTCAAGAGAAATTCTTCACTGATCCATGTGGGTGGGAAGCATTCCCAATAAAGGGGTGAGGAGTTGGGGACCAAGGAAGGAAAGACACAAAAGTCTTGGATCAGCAATTCCAAAATATCTTGCTGCTGACTCTGGCCTGGAGAACCCTGAGCTGTGGCTATTTGTGTTTGGATCTGGAGAGATTTATGACAGCAGGAGAAAGCAGACATAGCAAATGTGGCACCTGGCCCTCTGCCCTCACCCTCTCCATGTTTATGTAATCATGATTATGGCTGTGTACACAATGAAGCACAAATTGGGGGTCTAAGGAGTGAGGCTGGCCCTGTGCCTCTGGGAAGCGACCTCACTCTGCTTATGCTTCTCATGATTATTCCATTAAAAGGAGCTGTTTGGTGCCCGGAAGGCGTGGCTTAGTGGTTTTGTTAGCATTGCTAAACTCAAAAGCAGTCATGTCTGCTTAAAGGTTTGACCGAAATGGCCACAGCATCTTTCCCCTCGGGGCCTCGGGACCCAGGGAATGACATCTGCCTCTACCTGCTTCTCTTCCTCAGAATTCACTTCACCCCCACCACACCATGACCTTGCAATGGCAGCAGGGACTAATGAATTTGTGGCATATTGGCATGTGTAAACCCTGATTTACCTGATTTGACTATATCACTATAGAGAGGTGTGGGGAGGAGCAGGTGGCCTGAATACACAGGAGACCTGTGTGAAGCCCCTGCTTTGCTCCACCCCTGCTGGGAGACTGTGTGGCCTACAAGTGCCAGTGATGGTCACCCTGGGGCTGGCCACCGCTTATACTGTAAAACCCTACTCCACCTCTGGGGCCTCCACCTGGTATCTAGATGCAAAGGATCAATCCGGTGCCCTTCCATTGCCTGCAGTGGGCTTTGGGGTTAGTCACCTGAACCTATTCAGGCTCAGTTTCCTCATCCATCAAATAGGGGTGATGGTCCCCAAGTCACAGGGCTGGCATAATGTGTCGATGAGATGAGACATAAGAAGTGCTCAGTACTGTACTTGGCACATAATAAGTGCTCTTGAATGTGGGACATCCTCTGCTAGGAGCCTCTACTCTAAATGTTTCTGGGTTTGTGGCTCTACTCACCCTCTCGGGTAGATGGTTGGGTTGTTGAGGTTTTGCACAATCTTTCATGCTCTTTTACCAAACCAGAAGAACTCTCTTTAAGTTAGACTACTCTGAAAAATAGAAATAAAAGCTACCATGGACCCAGAGCTACCAGGAGTGGGGCCTTGTGCTCCACATGCATCAACTCCTTCAAGCTTCACAAAGAAGCCAGGGGCAGGTGTTATCACCATGATCTCCTTCCACAGTTAGGCACAGAGACACTAAGTAATTCAACTGAGGTCACAGAGCAATAAGGGGCAGAACCAAACATTTAACACTGAGGGGAAATTAACATTCCTAATCGCAGTGCTATGCTGCTGTTACCCGACCTGCACAGCTGCCACTGCCCCCAAATTAGTTGTTGATAGTGGCAGCCAGTCTTGAGTCCTTCTGGAAGGGGACAGTGGCAGGGCCTCTCGTTACCAGGTTTGGTCTCCCACAGCCTCCTTGGGCCTACTCTGTGCTGATTGCCCTAAGTCAGGGTGTTGCACTGTTCGGTGAATGCCCTCCTCTCCTCCCCTGACCAATTCCTGCTCATCTATCAGTGCTCAGCAGAGGATTACCTTCCACAGCCCCCCTGGCTCACTCTGTTGGAGCTGGGATCATTCCATGTGTGGGTTGTCCATTCGTAATCTAACTCCTAGTAACCCACAGCTCCTGGGTAGCAGGGATAAACGCAAGCCTTCATCTGTGTATTCCCAGCTCAGCACGCACAGAGCCTAGCATGAAGTCAGCACTCAGTGAATCGTTGTCCCATGGCTGGAAATTGAGGGCAAGTGTGTCGGACCCTGACCTTGGGAGTCTCCTGTAATCTAGGATGAAAAGAAGCAGCTTGAAAATAGAAACTTCTTGGCCTTCCTGTATAGAAAAACATGGCCTACCTCTAGATATATGTATACTTCATTTAAAAGACAAATTTTAAGCCTGAATTCTTGGAAGACTAAATTAAATTGACCGCTTCCCAAGAGCTGCTTGCTAAAACTGTGTTTCCATAACTATACTGGTTTGAGCATTTATTAAGTCTTAAATTCAGAGCGGTGGAAAGGCCATCGGCATTGCACTTAAACTAGACTGGCATTTGAATTCCAGCTGTGCTGGCTACATCTGCTTGGGCAAGGTGCTGCATCTGTGAGCCTTCATTTCTTCATCACAGCAGGGGAGTAAAATGCCTGCTTCACAGACAGGTCATGAAGATTAATTATGAAATGCCTGGGCTATAGAAGAAATCAGAAAATGTGAGTGTCATTTGAAAGAAGCACAAGGAGAGAGATGTGGAATACCAATCTAAAACGTTTTCTTCATTTCTTTTATTTATTCATTGACTTATCTATTTAATCATTCATTCATACAATCTATCAATATTTCTTGAGAACCAATGCTATGTCCAGTAGGTTGAAAAAGGCTGAGGATACAACAATTAGCAGCACAAACATGGTCTTACGTTTGTGTGTCATGGGACTTATGTTTTGGTGGAAGAGGCAGTCAGTGAATAAGTAAACAAATAAATAGAATAATTACAGCCCACAGTAGATACTAAAAAGTATCCCTTGTGGACACTAAAGCATAAAGGGAGCTAAAGTAGAGATAATTTGGGAGTGGGAGCTCTCACTTAAGCGGGGTGATTAGTTACAGCTTCTCTGGTCAGGTCATTTGTGAGTAAGGCCTGAAAGATGAGTAGGAAGGAGCCAGTTCTAAGGAGAGCTGGGAAGAGGGTGTTCAGGCAGAGATTACAGGACATGAAAAGGCCCCGAGGTAGGGATTTTAGGGATAGCCAGAAGGTTAGGAGGCCTTGAAAAATTAGTGTGACGTAAGGTTGGGGAAGTAGGCAGGGGCTCATAGGTCACCCCTTACCAGAGTCCAGGGGATAGAGCAATAGGCCCCAGTGGGGCAGCTAATACAGGAGGTTTGATTGGCAGGTTGTGGGAGGAAATGTGGACCTGCGAGTAGAATATAGATGTGAGAAGCATCACCCAGGAAGCGAGGCTTCAGGGCGGGGCAGGTCCATCAGGAGTGCCCTGGAGGTGTGCACAACCTAGCATTTGGGACACTGCTCCTGAGGACAGCCATTCTGCAGGCAACGAGGGAGGTCTTGGGAAAATGGAGTTCACAGGGAGGATTTGATGGCCCAGGAGGGCTGGCTAGTAGAAGCAGAGCAGGGTCCCACTGCCAGAGGAATGAGCAAACTTGGCAGGAAATGGGCCTGGTGGAGGTGAGGAAGACAGGAGCATAGTTACTCATCCCAGGATGTAAGGTGGAGACCTGATCACCAGGTGCGAGGCACCAGCTCAGAGCTCACCAACCATCTGTGTGCTTCACCTCCCTCGTGTCCTCCCAGCCTCACCTTACAGCAAGCTCCCTCTCATTGTCTCTGCTCCAGCCCTCACATTCCCTGCTTCCCTGACTTCCTGCTCATCAGGCTCTTCACATCATGGGGCATTTGCACATGTCGTTCCCTCGGCCTGGAACACTATTCCCAGCACTGCTTACCTAGCTTACTCCTTCACCTTCCACTCATCACTTCCCCGGTGACCTTTTTTCTGGCAGCCCTGATTGAGCAAACCTGCAATTTAAATCGTCTCATAATACCTTTATGACACTAGACCCTTTCTGTTTCCATTTAATTTTATTTGTGTAATTACTGGTTACTGTCTGCCCAATGTAAGCTCCAAAAAGGGAGATCTCAAATCTGTTTGTGCTCACCTGTATATCCCCCAGTGCCTACTGCAGTGCCAGTGCTAATATTCAATGAACAAATTAATTTAAAAATTGCTGGCGTGGTTCTTGACCACAAGTCCTCAAAGTGTGGCGATAGAATCAGCACCATCAGCATCTCCTTGGAACTTGTTAGAAATGCAAATCCTTGGGCCCCACCCCAGAACAAGTGAAGCTAGAAGGAGAGGGGGCGGACAGTAACAATCTGTGCTTTAATGAGCCCTCTGGGATATTGCCATGCACACTTCTGTTTTCGATCCACTGACCTAATGCCCTAGTTCTGAACTTAGGGGTGGGACTTAAAAGAACACATCTGTGTAGATAAGAGCTATATTAGGCGGAAGCAAAACTGATAATTTTGGATGAGCCTTTGTAATGGGATGGATTTTAGGTTTGACCTTGAGGGTTTTGAACGGCATATTCACATTAAAATTCAGCTGACCATTTATTGTCTGAACCCAAGAGATGCCCATGAAATTTCCTAGTTAGTGACATTATGGACACAGCTGTTGACATGTGCTGCAGTGCCTAAATTTTGCTGGGGATGAGGGTGGGGATAGAAAAGCTGAACTGTGTGCGAAAACAAGATAATCCTGCAAACTCACATATCTGAGGGAACACCATTCTTTTCTGAGCAGAGCGGGGCCCGGCCACAATTGGGAGCTCTGTGAGCATAAATATTTTCCCTACAATCTTCAGAGTTCCCTCCTGCAAATATCTTCTATTAGTGGAAGCCCAGTAGATGTTTGTTAAATGCATGTGTGAGTGAGTGAATCGGTAAAGGTATAAATAAATGAATGGAAGAAGGGACCTTCTTCCTAATAGAGTACTGCCTAATAGAGTACAAATGGCAGATTCTCCCAGGTCTGGAACCTTCTACTGCTATAGGAAGATCCTCTCCTTTTAGTCCTCTTCCTTTAAGACTATGTTTTAGATTGAACCCGGAGATTGGACAAATGGAAGTTTGCAAATTAAATTAACATGATTTTTATAGCTTCACTAAAGAGAGAGGTGGAGAGGGAAGACAGCCAATCCCTCCGAGACCAGAAGCCCCAGGAAGACAGAGAACATGGTTTTGTTCACCACTCTATCTCCAGCACCTTGGACAGGGCATGGCACATAACTCAAGCTCCACAAATACGAAGTGTTGACTGACTGACTTATGGGGTGATTGTTATGTGGCTGGCAATGGGCCGAGCATTTCATTGGTCACCTCATTTCATTTTTTAGCACAAAGAAACATGCCAGCTCCACTTTACAAAGGAGAAAGCTAAGGCACGGGAAAGCTGAGGGAAGCAGCTAGATACAATGTAGACTGTCTGACCGTGATGTTCATGCTCATTCTCTAGCCCAGGCTGGTTCTCTGTATCAGCCAACAGCCAGATTCTGGCTGCCTCCAGTTTTATGAAATTGTATAGCTGGACTTAGGAGGATAAATGAATTTCCGGGGCTTCTGCTTTATTTATTGCTATTCCCAAGAGCTCTAGATCTTCCTGATTCTGGGAATAAACAGTGTGACACAGGAAGGGAAAGGGATCGACAGTTTGGTCCCTGACGGGTTACAGTATTGTCCTTTGTGTCCTCGCCATTTAGAATCTCTGCGGAAGGAGTGGACATTGTTTTGGATTGCCTCTGTGGGGAAAACACCGGAAAAGGTCTCAGCCTTCTCAAACCCCTGGGGACCTACATTCTATATGGTGAGTGCTGAACAGTAGCGGGGGACATGCTCACCGAACATTGCTCAGGTGCCTACAGACAAAGGCTCTAAAAAATGAAATGTGTTGCTATGTTAGGGCAATGAGGTTGGGGTGTTTGCTTTTTTGATGTGTCCCAAAATATTGCTATTGGCATTAGTTATTTTCAATAATAAAAGTGACATATGTACCTACTGCCCTGTTACTCCCAGGAATACTTCTTATTCCAAAGGAGATCAAGCCAAGCCAAACCAATGTAGTCATTGAGATGGGACCCACAGAAAGTGGCACAGGTGGGAAACCAAGGAAGGACCCACAGTAGGATGGAGAGGGGTGGCTGCTATATTGGGGTTTTAAAGGCAGTTCTTCCAGTTCTTCAGTATTAGAGGTGAAATTACAAACAAACAAACAAACAAACAAAACCCAACAGGCTCTCCTTCCTCTAAACTACCCTTGTATGTCCCAATCAAGACAGAAGCCCTGGGTAGACGGGGAACGGACCTGCTTCTGCATCTCGCATTTGGGAGGATTTATGAAAGACAATAGGGAGCAGGTTTTCTCTAGCAGAGTGAGGCCCCCAGAGCCCCTTCTCTCTTCTTCTCTTCTTTCAAAGCAATTTAAACATTAGTCTCCACAAAGTCAGAAAAGCATATCTGAAGCCAGAAGTTACATTCCAAAGCCAAATGATATTGGGTTATCCAACATTTGACATTTTTGGTGCATCTGTAGCCTTTATGTACAACAGAAAATTAAACCTCAGTTCTGTATAACAAAAAAAAATACAGTTTCCTTGCTATTAGCTGAGACACTTATAAAAGAGGTATAAATATGCAAGCATCTCTTTGTTGTCATCCAGTCATTATGAAAAAGAGGGAATAAGCTTCCCATTGCTGGTGTGTTTTTGTATTTTCAACAGTGGCCACATATTTAAAAGCCCTTAGAGGTGGACACGAAATTTTTAAATTATTACTATTGATAAGAGAAGCACTGAGCATCAATGCACAATGTAGGGATATTGGGTACGACTCACATGGTGTGACTAACATGTGAGTCAAATGCAGATGGACAGTTTTTGCATTTTTCACTTATTTACCAATTCTATTTTTGCCCCAGTTTCATATATTTCATGGAATACAACCCAATTACATTGTAGTGTCTAATTCATTACATTGACTACTTGATTACTAAGTAGTTGAAGCCTAGTACAATGATGCCTGGTGGTAATCACCACATAAAATTAGAAGCAGTGATTAGCTGTCAACCAGTTTAACCAGGCCAAATAGTTAAGCTTAAAATATATATTGATTTTTCATTAATAACAGTTCACTGAAAAGAATTTACTCTCAGTTCTATGGGGACAAGAGAGAAAACTCCTTGAAAAGGACCCCATATGGTATCTGAAGGTCTAAGAGCTCTCTCATTTACCCCCTCTGGGAACCCACAGCAGTCTTTTCTCTGTAAGAGCATCTTAGGGAATCTTTCCCAACTTCACCCCCCGTCTTCCCTCTAATAGTGCTTATTCCAATTAGCAAAGCTCAGTTTCACATACCATTTATCTCAAGTGGTTTTTTACCTTTCTGCCCAGACCTCTCTGGAGCTAAGGCATCGGCCACACTATTTCCGTGGCTGCTGAGCCCGTTCCTCTCTCATCTGCTCCTTTGTGGGACAGTTTATCCATCCACCTAAATTCTAGCTCAGCCAGTCTCTTCCTACCCCTATGTGCCCCGCCCAAGGCAAAGCTCCAAGCCCCTCACTTGCTGAGGAGCCAACTTCAAGCCACTAAGGAGTCCATTTCTCAGTCTCAAAGAATGGAAAGCAACCAGACATTTCAGCAACTCGTCATTTTGTTAGAATGTTGGCACATGCCCAACTTTCCACAGTAATGACATGGTCACCTTGAGAGATGTTACTTCCTCTTTGATCCAGTGTAACTTGGTTCAAATCAAGGCACCTTGTCACCGCCTACCCCCTCCATTAGCCCCATTTCCCCAGGCGGACTCAAGCTCCTGACAGTTCTGGGCTGAACAACTGCCCTAACAAGGCATGTTGATTTTTATTAGCGGTCACTTGATTTGGGAATCTTCCATTTTCAGGTTCATCCAACATGGTGACTGGAGAGACCAAGAGCTTCTTTAGCTTTGCAAAATCAGTAAGTACCCACACACGGTAATGTACTACGGTGGGCAGTGGTTTGCATGTCGTGAGCTCTCGCATCTAAGGACATTGACCTCATAACCTAAACCTTATTTTGTCCTTCACCTGCATTATTCATCTTTAGTGCAGCCTGCATTCCCGCCTTGCTCACTGCACACTCACGGTGACTTGGGCTGCTTTTGTCTAAACAAGTCAGCAGGGAGTGGGGGCATGTATGTGAAACTCCAGAAAGCTTTATTTTGATTTCAATAGGGATTGCTTATGTGTTGATATTTTTAATCGTTGGTTGAAAAAAAAACCAATAGTGCATTTTATTTCCTTCATGGAAAGCAAATAAACTTTCTGACCAGCTTTCTGTGGGTACTTGAGATTTCTCTGAATCCTAATTTTACGCATTGGAGATATAAAGGGGATCCTTTTGAGCAAGCTCCTGGGTTGAGTTTTAGACCTAGGCAAGTTTATGAACCATTGACTTAGATAAGCATGCTCTGAATACACTGGTTACTTTGTCTGCAGTGGAAAAGCCATATTCCTGGGCATTCACCCCATCGTGTTCCTACTCAGACCTACATTCCCGCCTAGAACTACACTTGGGTGACTTTTCCCCTGACAACAGGGGATTGCTGCTTCTCAAAAGACCTTGCTTTTGTCTTCTCTCCTCCCAGTTTCCGTGACGTTTCCCTTATTTTGTTTCCCTTACTTTGCAAGCATCTTCTGAGCACCTGCTATTTGCAGCTCTGAGCCAGGCACTGGGTGTAACATCAAGTGAGATAGGGGCATCTGAGGCCCTTGTGACTCTTACATTCTCATGAGAAAAACAACTGAAATAAGTAAAACATACAAATAACATGATTGCAAATGGTCATAAAAGCTCCGAAGAAATGAAAGGAGATGCTGAAATAGAAAACGGCAGGGTGGGCTAGAGGCATTTTGAATAGATGGTCAGATAAAGCTGTGGCAAGGGGTTTAGATTCATTCTAAGTGTGGCTACAGAGTATTCATATGCCATTTAACTGGCAACACTGGCTGCTGGAGGCTTCATCCCCAACATACCCTGATTCTGGAATGATTACTACTTCCTGCCCCATGAAATTAGAATTAAAGGGTCTCTGCATTTGAACTTTAAAGTTCAGCTACAGAATAAACTGGGAGCAGGAAGAGTCTAATGAAGGATGCTGTCTGGAGCATGTCCCCTGGAGACAGGCTTTGTGTCACTCACAGCTGCTTTGTTGCTATGGCAGTAATTACCGTGATGTTGACAGCCTGCTGAGGGTAACCAAATCGGTCCCAAATTACATACAATTGTAATAAGTGTTTTCCATTTCTTCCCCAAATGCACAATCACAACACACAGTTTTAATGAAATAATTGCAGAGTACCCAGGTTCAATGAAGGCACACACAAAAACACAGCCAAGATGCAGGTTGAGATTTTCCTGCCCAAACCAAGGGCGGCGGTTATCAGAACACTACTAGCTGGAGGTCAAGAAAGAAGGCTTCCCTTTCAGAGGCCTGGCACAATGTCAATTGGTCATTTAGAAGCAAATTGAAAATAGGGTATGCCAAGGAGTGGAATGATACCTTTGTTCTGGAAGATTCTAGAAGGGATTTTTTTTCTATACATTCAAGAGAGGCTTAGGAATGAAAGCATGTTTGTAATCACACCGGAATTTTTCACTCAGCTATCTTAATTACGTTCTACCTTAACACTCCCACAGAGCTTGTGCACACTTTGTCAAGCATGCCATTTGCTTTCAGACCATAATGATTATGCTAATAATAGGTGAAGCTAGCATTTACAGAGCAGTCTGACTCCAAATTCAGAATTCCTGTTCACTAAATCAGAACCATTCCTTCCAACATTCGGTGATAATAAAGCTAGTTCATATTTATAGAGCCCCTAGTGTGTGTCAGACACTAAGCACTTTGTATGCATTAACACATTTACTCCTCAAGATGACCCCATGAGGAACCACAAGGAAACTGCACACAGAGAGGTTAAGTGACTTGCTTAAGGTTGCACAGCTAGTAAGTGGAGGAACTAGGATTTGAAACCAGGCATTCGGCTCTAGAACTCAACCACAACTGTACAGCAATTGTAGAATCAGCAAGGATTCATTTCACAAATATTTATTACGGCATTGCAGATGTAGTGCAAATCAAGTCATTGATGGTGTCTTTTGCTTTTTTTTTCGATAAGTAACCCATGGTCAAATACATGGTTCTCCTGGAGCTGGCCCTCAGGCCCTCGGGAATGTACTTTGGTAAAGAATTTTATGCACGAACCTTATCCCTATATAAGCCTGTCTTTCTCCCACTTATTTTCCTAACAATATGATTTTCTCACTTTTAAAAAAAATCGACCTTTTACTTTTTTGAGCCTCTTCAATCCTGGAAAGAGGCAGAATGTAAACAAACAGAGCGATAACACTGATATTATAAATGCTCATAAGTGCCCGGCACATTCCTCTTTGTCTTCAATATTAAACTGAGAGTAACCATCTCATTTCTCAGAACCCTCAAGAAACTGGAAGTTAAATTTCTAAATTCAAACCGGCACCAAAGGAAACACAATTAAATCAGAACAAAGCAGTTGGATAACCATTTCTATAGTTTGTTAATGGATAGCTTGCTTATTTTCATGTCTGATTGGGAGATAGGCAGCCATATTTGCCAGTTATGTGTATTCCCACAGAGGACTTTAATCCAGGGTTTCTCATCTTTAGTGCTTTTGACACTTTGGGGTGAACAATTCCTTGTTGCAAGGTGCTATCCTGTGCACTATAGGATGTTTAGCAACATCACTGGCACCTATACACTGGAGGCCAGTAGATCCAGTCATTACAATAAAAATGTCCCTAAACATTACCAATGTTCCCTCAGGGGCAAAACTGCCCACAGTTGAGAGCCACTGTCTTAGCCCCAACACTGTTTTATACCTCAGTCTACTGTTCCTTCTTCCTGTATGACACTTTCTTTCTCTTCCTTCTCTGATGCATTTCCAGTCACCCCTCCAGCCTTATCGTTACTCCCCCAGGAAAGCTGCACCTGCAGTCAATGTCATCACCCCTACCGTGTCCCCAGCACACTTTGTAAACCTCTATGCCACCTCACTCCCTTCCTCCACCCCTCCCTTCAACAACCCCTTACCACCATCACCATTCACAAAGCCAAGTGCTTTACACTGAATTCTCCCAGGGAACATCAGAGGCAATACCCTGCCACCGTATGTAGCTGAGAAAAATGAAGCATGGAGAATAACAGCGAGCAAGCTGTATAGCCAGGATTCAACTCCAGAGCTAGTAATCCTCACCATATTCTTTCACATTCCAACTACATGTGGCCTAGTGGCTCATTTTAAAGGGCTCTCTCCCACCTTGATCCTGAGCTCTTCTCATAAGCACCACTGTCTGTAGTTCTCCACGCACTCACCAAATAGATGCTTTAAAAAAACACACCAACCTCATATGTGGAATCTAATGAACAAAATAAACTCATGAACAAAATAGATCCAGAGACACAGGAGCATGGAGCAGACGGACGAATCTCGGGGGAAGATGGGGTGGGTGGTGAGATATTAACCAAAGAACTTGTATGCATATATGCATAACCATGGACACAGACAAGAGTGTGGTGAAGACCTGGGGCGGGGGTGTGTGTGGAAGGGAGTCAATGAGAAAAAAGGGGGACATCTGTAACACTTACAACAATAAAGATTAAGAAAACACACACATACCAACCAGATCTACCTCTCAGCCAGCTAGAACCGGGCCCACGGCAGCCCTGTTTTGCTGAGAACGAGTCCTTGTAACCTGGCACCTTCTCTCTTTCCAGTGGTGGCAGGTGGAGAAAGTGAACCCCATCAAGCTATATGAAGAGAACAAAGTCATCGCAGGGTTTTCCCTTTTAAATCTGCTCTTCAAACAGGGCCGCGCAGGCCTCATTCGAGGAGTGGTGGACAAACTCCTAGGGCTCTACACCCAGAAGAAGATCAAGCCCACTGTGGACTCCCTGTGGGCCCTGGAGGAGGTAAGAATGGTGTTTCCCCCCAGCAAATAGTCTCTTTTAGTCCAGACAGGTTTGGGCAGCCAAATACATTTTTTTTTCACTAAATAATTTTTCTCTAGGTTTGTTTGTTTTAAATGATGGTCCTAAAGTCATTGTCCCATAATACGGTGCTTTGAATATAAAAAATATTTTAAATTCTCTAGTGGTTGTTTTTTTTTAATTTAATTTGTTAGGTTGACATTGGTTAATAAAATTATACAGGTTTCATGTGTACAATTCTATAACATATCATCTTTGTGTTGAATTGTGTTTTCACCACCCCAACTCAAGTCTCCTTCCATCACCATTTATCTCTTCTTTATGCTCTCCCACCTCCACGCCCCCCCCTTTCCCTCTGGTAATCATCATACTGTTGTCTGTGTCTATGAGGTTGTTGTTTTTCTTTTTGCTTAATCTCTTCACCTTTTTCACCCAGCCCCCAACCTCAACCCCCTCTGACAGCTGTCAATCTGTTCTCTATATTATGAGTCTGTTTCTATTTTGTTTGCTAGTTTATTTTGTTCATTAGATTCCACATATAAGTGAAATCATATGGTATTTGTCTTTCTCTAACTGGCTTATTTCACTTAGCATAATACTCTCCAGGTCCATTCATGCTGTCACAAAAGGTAAGACTGTCTTCCTTTTTACGGCTGAGTAGTATTCCATTGTGTAAATGTACCGCACCTTTTTATCCACTCATCAACGAATGGGCCCAGGGACGATGTCTAAATTTTGGCTATTGTAAATAACACTGCAATGGACATAGGGGTCATATATTCTTTTGAATTAGTGTTTTGGGTTTAGTTGGATATATTCCCGGAAGTGGAATCTCTAAGTCATAAGGCAGTTCCATTTTTCTGCCCAGATCTCAGCAGAACAGAGCCACCAAGACTCGATAGGGTGGGGCTGCCAAAATCTGGAGAGTGGAGAGAATGGATCTCCTATGAGAGAGAGGTGCCAGTCAGGTTCACAGGAATGTGGTGGGAATGCCCCCCCCACACACACACCGCAAAGCCATATAATGCAATCACTGACACCTTCTGAGTGCCCTCACCCCTACACCCCTGCCCACGCAGCTGACTCCTCAGCAGGGTACAAGCTCCAAAGGCTGGGACAACAGGAAGTCCAGAGGGTGGGGCTTTTGCTTTTCTACAGGCTGATGCCCTAGGGAGGGGAGTGCTCCTCTCAAGAAAGATGGCATCTGTGGTGTGGGAGAGGGACTCAGCACAGGGATCTTGGTGGCTGTCCCTTCAGCTCTCTCCCCAGAGCCACAAACTCTAGTCTCTTCTTACACTACTCTAGTCTGCTCTGCCCTCCCTCCACTGGAGCCCAGGATGAGTGGCTGCAAATGAGATTTTTGTGCACTGGCCCTTTAAGAGGGCACCTGTGTCTGTAGTAGACTCTCTCTCTTTCTCTTGGGTGGACAGAATCCCTGGTTTTCTTTTTCTTTTCTTTTTAAAAAGACTTTCACATATTTTTATTGCTTTCAGAGAGGAAGGGAGAGGGAAAGAGATGGAAACATCAATGATGAGAATCACTGATTGGCTGCCTCCTGCATGCCCCCCGTAGGGATCGAGCCTGCAATCCGGCATGTGCCCTTGACCATAGGCTGACACCCTATCCACTGAGCCAAACCAGCTAGGGACCCTTGCTGGTTTTCAGCCCCAGATATTATGTGTGCACCTCTTCCTGGCCCTGGTGCTCTGGGCTGGGGAGCTTCACTTGGAGTTTAGACCCCACACTTCTTAGGGGGAACCCTCCGCAGCTGAGATGTCCCTCCGGAATCTTGGCTGCTGCTGGTAGGATTGGGGGCCAGCCCTTTTTGCGTCTCTGCCCTTCCTACTAGTCTTGTTGTGGCTTCTGTAAATCCTTGGTTATGAGACTTCTCTTCAGCTAGTCTTCAGTTGGTTACTCAGGTTGCTTGCTCTATCTATATTTTAGTTGTAATTTGAGTGTAACATCCACCTACAACACTGCCATCCTCAATCCTCTCTTCCCTCTAGTGTAGTGGTTCTCAACCTTTTGGCCCTTTAAATACATTTCCTCATGTTGTGACCCAACCATAAAATTATTTTCGTTGCTACTTCATAACTGTAATGTTGCTACTGTTATGAATCGTCATGTAAATATCTGATATGCAGTATGGTCTTAGGCGACCCCTGTGAAAGGGTCGTTCAACCGCCAAAGGGGTTGCGACCCACAGGTTGAGAACCGCTGCCCTAGTGGTTCTTAAACCACATGCCTTACCATAGCATTTGTACCATAAACCTTTCCAGGTAAGCCACCAAGTTTTAATTTATGTATATGATTCATCTTGTGTACAAGAGAGCATATATTTTGTTGCAGCATCATTTACATTGTCACCTTGTGGGTATATAAAAGATCAAGGTCATGGCTCAGAATTGAAATGATTTGTGTGCTAAGCCTGATGCTTGGGGCCCTTGTGAGACGTTGTTAGCTGTCACAATGGGCATTGTCATTATTGATGAATTGTTGAATCTACTGTTGGACTGTTTTCATTAATTGATCTACCCAAAGTTCCAGTATTTTAAAACCATTCCTTGATCATGAAAAAATTAAGAACCCCTAACGTTATCTTTACGGATACTGAAGTGTGACTGGTTGTTTGGGTTCAGGTGAGATGAGCTGGGAGGAGGTAAGGTCTAGAAAGTCCTTCAGGACAAGGAAAGTTTGAGATATTTGGGAAGCCAGTCACAGCAGTTACCTGTGGGGGTAAAATGGAAAGATGTGGCCTAGGTTTCCAGAGGCATTTTACTAAGAAATTTTCTTACGTCAGGATTTCATAACCTTGGCTTCAGAGAGCCATGAAGCCGCAGAGGAATGTTTTAAACTATATGGGAATGTGTGTTTTTTGTTTGTTTTTCTATTTTGCACAGGGGAGTAACTTGTAGTACAAACAACTTTTTGTACTTTTGGGAGTCATGGTCACTTTTCAAAAGCTCACAAACACAAAATTCTGTGGTACAGAGAGTCGGTATCCTCTTGGTAAGAAGGCTGGTGCTATTTGCCTAATGGAAGAGGTTGGCCAAATCCTATGGCTTCCCTAAACACAGAATCACTCTGAAACCCTTTGTGAGGGTCATTGTATAATCAAATAGGACTGATCCTGGATCCATGCACCACAATACCTCTCTAATCCTGCAGTATTGTGAATAGTCTTTAAAAACCCAACCACCAAAACCCTTGTTCCTTATGATAAAAGACATAAATGCTTGTTTTAGAAAACTCCTAAATTAACCAAAAGCATGAGGAGAAAATGAACTAACTGCAAGTCCACGTTCCAGAAATGGATAACATTGTTAGCATTTAGGTTTGCTTCCTTCCTGTCTTTTTTCTATTACAGATGCTCACTGTGATTCAATTTATTGCTAAATCAAATCAGATAATTGTTCATTCCTTCTGCTGTGTAATTTCCAAGATTGTTAGCCTATCATTGTGCTTTTCTTGAGAAGAGATTTATTTTAATCCATATGGTATTCACTATGATATCTCAGTGCTATAGAGTACAGCTGGATGAAACCATTACCAGATTCTCAGTGGTCAGGAATGAGAGAAAACTGGAAATAGTCAAGACCAGAGATAAGAGATTAACTTGACCATGGGGCAAAAAATGGGGCTTAAACTTAGATCCAGTGCCAAAAAGAGATCCAACAAAACTGGTAGCATTTAAGCAGAGGTTGAAATCTAAGATCCTGTTGGCCCAATGGTTCCTTGTTCTGATACTTGACATCAATCCTGGTCACAATGGTAACTGAATTATCAAATATGTATTGAATAACTACTATGTGCCCTATATTTGTCTGTCTATCTATCTATCTATCTATCTATCTATCTATCTATCTATCTATGTCATGTATGTATATCTGTGCTTTATACATGAAAAGAATAAGATTTTTTTCATTCTCCAAAAACCAATTTTTACCCCTTTGGGGATGGGATCACTCCCACTGAGAATGTATGCTGTAGAATGACTTTAGAGAAGAAAGGTTAGATGTCATAGGTTATGAAAGAGGCAAAACAAAACAAACAGAAGAGCATGCAAGGCAGAGAGACCCTCAAGAGCAAATGGATGAAGAAAGAAAGATCATGATGGATTCCAGAAAACAGTTTCCTGTACTGATGTGACCAAGGGAGGGAATGGCTCAAGGAGAGCCTGGATGAACAGGTCATCAGGGGCCACATAGAAATCTAGATCTTACTCTAAGCCCCATGGGAGGCCACTAAAATGTCAGGGTTAGGAGGTCCTACACCATGATCCCAAGGGAAGAAGTAAAAATTATTAGGCTCCAACTGCAGAAGTCTGATGATATTCAAAGGAGATCTCAATTCAGCTCAGAAATGGGGGCACCAGACTAAGCTCAGCTCTCATTAGACAGGGTCTGACTAGGAACAGCTGGGCACAGACAAGGCAGCTAGGGGAATGTGCAGCTCCATGCATGCTGGAGCTAATCAGGATTGGCTCAAGAGCTGGATGGACCAAGGACTCAGAGCAAAGCTTCTCAGGACCCACACCAAATAGAGATGGGAAATCTGAGGCTGATAGCTGACTGAATAATGGATCATATACAACTCCAGGACTTTATTGCAAGTGCTTCCAAATTCATGCACTTCCTTTCATCTCTACTGATGGCACCCATGTAGCCTAAGCTGGACTCATCTTGTAAGGAACTCCTGATCAGTCCCACACTTCCATCTTGCCCCTGTATAGGGCATTCTGTACCCAGTGGCCTGAGTGAACTTATCACTACCTAACCTAGATCATGTTTGTCCTGCTTAAAACCCACCATGGCTTCCCATGGCACCTGGAATCCAGGCCTGCCCAGTCTAAACTCCTGACCTCTCATCAACCTCACACTGTTCACCTCGCCTCCTACATCCAATCTTCAGTGGCTTTTATGTCCCTGGTGCTTGAACCCACTCAAGCTTTTCCTGTCTTGCACTGTTGAACCTGTTGCTTC